TGAATAGGCTATTCGAGCCCACTTCTCCTTGTGAAATAATGAAAATATAGTCTTTGTCCAGTATGGCCCCTGAGAGGAGAGATATTTCAATGCATAGATGAAATATATAGAAAATGTGAAGAAGGTGAGAAAAAAAAGTGAAGAAACTTTTTCATAAACACTATACTAGTTGTCACAGTCTTAATTATTTATTGCTACCCACCTCATCAGGTTGTGGTTCTATGTGATACACTTGGGAGGTTTTTCAGCCTATGCTTTTTTTTCTTTCTTTTTTATTTTAAGTAGAAAGTAAGTTTCTTGTTGGTTTGCAGCTAGTGAGCAGTCCCATCCAAGCTGAGTACCTGCTATTATGTTAGTAGTAATGGTTTTGTTAGCTGTTCTTGAACAATGGAATAGTGTCAGAAGTGTCAAAAATAATTTCTTGATTTAGTTGATGAAAATGTTTCTTCTTTATTTTCAGTTAACTTCTCTCAAAGGCAAATAATTCTAATATTCAGCAGAAAGACACCATATCTTTCTAAAGGCTGACAGACAACTTTAATATTGATCTGCTCTGGCTTAAAGTGTAGAAATGTGGATGTCCTGAAGCGCTGGACAGCTTATGTGTTTCTGTATGTGAGATGTAATAATTCAAGTTTATTTTAAGTAGATACTTTAAAACCAGAACAGGATTACCAGGCTGAAGTGCTGATTGCCACAATGTGACACCACGATAAAAAGGGAAATACCATGTTTTGGTCAACTTACTTTTCAGATTGGGTTTTTTTTGGTTCTTTTTTGAAATGACAGAGGTCAGTTAAGAATGTTACATTTATGAATTATTATGTCTTTTTAAAAGTGCATTTGGATGATTGCTGTTGTTCAGTTTTCTCTTGTCTATACTTTCACAACTCTTGAGGCAGAGAGATGTGTGCTTATGTATGTAGAAATAAATACTCATAAGGATTTTTGATAGGTCATCATGACCCAGTTTCACTTTATAAATCTTTGTATTAGAGCAAAAAATTTGCAGCTGTTTAACCAAGAATGTTGTTTTCTGATATTTCTGTTAACTGTATAAGTGAAACTGCCATGGTGTGGTGGTGCTTTGGTTTTTGGTTTTTTTTTTGGTAACTCGATGCTTTCTTATACCTAGGAGTTTCTTTTACTGATCTCTTTCCAATAGTCTCTTGATTTCTTTTTTATTTTTTTAATTTTTAAAGTGCCCCCTTTTGTGATCATGACATTATGGTCATTATTGTTTCAGTATCAGTTATGAAATAATTTTTATTACAGTATGTGTCATTAGCAGTTAAAGGAATGATATTGTATTTCGCCCCTTCTAAGTCTTCAAGTATTGCTCTGGGCCTGCGTTTGCTTGCATGGCTCTCTGGATATCACGACTTCTAAATTTTCTTGCTTTTTGTAGTTTTTTTTTTTCAATTTTGCTCAGTGGGTATCTATACCTATTTGCTTTTGTTGCTGCCAATGTGCTAGTAACAGTTAAAACTCTTACTGTCTGTATTTCTTCAGGTCTTAAAATATTTTAATAACACCATCCATTTGGGCTTAGCTGGTGATCCGTTTCAGAACCTCAAAATTTATTGCAATAGGATCTCCATGTTTATTATTAATGTAATATAACCTTATGTCTAAGCATTATTAGTTACTGATTAGCCAGTTTTCCATACAAATACAAAAGTGGATAAGTTTAACTGCAAAGCTGGGACGGTGCCATGGTATGATTGTAAACATTGTATTATCATAGTGAGAGCATAGTAGGAGTCATATTATCCCTTAGTAAAGCCTATATGGCAGGATAGCTGTGTGTGCCTGAAGATGTTGGCTTTGTTACCATTAGGATATGAGCTCTTGAGAGAGAATGAAAAGATGAAACTTCCTCATGACCTAGACCACTAGGGATAAATTTTATTACCGATGATTTACAAAATTCTTTTACCAAGCTAGGAATACAGGAGTATTTCCTGCTTTATGGATGAGAAAATAGAGTTATAGTTGCTGAATGGCCAAATTGTTTCACCTCTCTAACAGATGTTCGATAAAACCCATTCTCTCAAATCTCCACTGTGTGATTTGGTATCAACTAAGAGCTGCAGCTATTGTGGCAGTATCCTGCTTTAGGATAGGAGAAAACAATTCTTATAATCCCCAAAGAAAAGTTACAAACCCACATGAGTTCCCTTGCAGCAGTGTGCTGCCGAAGTGGGGGTTCTTCATCTCCAATGTGTAGGTAGGGAACATCTGTGATTTATGAGGCCTCTGTTCCCATGGGCTTACACTGCCTGGGAAATATTGAGTGTATATATATTAAGTCATCTCATATTGGATAAACATCAATGTAAGAGCACCTTTTACATATACATTTTCTATGATTTAAAGAATTTTATCAATAGCCCCCTGAAGGCTTTCAAGAGTATGACAGAGATCAATGGTTTCCTTGTTCTTGTGTGCTGTGCAAAGATGAGAAATGGGCTTTCAAGGCACTGAGAAGGTATTTAAAAAAAAAGTGGGGAAAGCCACTAAACTGGCCTCAAAGAATCTGCTGGCTGAAGGGAAATCTTAGTGAGATAGGGAAATGAAAAATTAATGGAGGCTTACTTGTATGCAGTATGTTTGAGACAGCAAGAGCATTGCTCACCAGGTTATTTGAGCCTTAACTGAGTTCTTATTTATGTCTGTACATATATATATATATATATATATAACTGGAACCCATTTTAAATTGGCCAGTTCTTTCCTCCTCACCCTTCCAAAACCACAGATCACTGAAAAGTGGTTAGATTCTTCTATTAAAGGTTTGAGGATTTTTTTTCCTCCTTTTTTATACCACATCAATGGTGTGAAATCTTTCATTTGACTAATTACCTTTACTTAGTGGCTAGTCTGGCTTTATGTGAGTTAATTTGGACACACTTGGTGATCTCTTCCTCCTTCTGACTTAAGGGTAGAATACTCATATGGAATATAATGGCAAAGGGGGCTCCTGCTCCAGTCAGTTTGCATTGTGTAGACTGTGAGGAACTGAAAGCTCTGCATGGGACACTTCTCTACACTACCCATATTGTGGAATCTGCATCTCTCTATGGGCATGTCACACAAAAAGGGGCAGAAAAGATCTATCTATCACCTTACAAGGCATCTTTGTGTTAAATTTCTGTTTAAGTTTGTGTTAAATTCAGAGATTCACTACCTGAGAACTGTAATCTTTATGGCCTTAAAGGTTACACAGTCTTTCAAAATGTTTGACATTTTTTATTCAGTGCCTTATCAGCATAGAAATCTTTGCTATAGCACCGAGGAGAAGATGTGAAAATGTAACAATGAAGATGAGAAGGTGCCTGCATGAAATTAGGGCATGATACTTTGTTCTTCAGTTACTGAACTTACTCTTGAGTGAGTATGGATGAGGGTAACTTTCCACTGTGAAGGGTCAGGAGCAAGGAAGATATTTTTCCAGGTCATTTTGAAAGAGAGGAGATGGCAAGTTGCTAACCCCTCTGTATTCTTGGCTTTGTTGAAGACTAGAAGTGTGGTTTTGAAGTTGTGTGTATAGGTCATGGTCACACTGGAGTCACACTGAGGCAACAGAGTTATCTTGTCTTTAGATAACAAGTGTTTCCATGAGTCACAGAATTAAATTAGGTTTTACTTCCCCCCAGCCCCTCAATCTTTTTTTGTCATAGGTCTGACTGAGTTTGATATCTAAAAAAGAAGTTGGCTGAAGTTGAAACTTTCCTTATACTTGGATCAAGTATAAGGGCTCCCTTCTGTGGATATACTGGAATTGAGGAGTGGGGTCGAAGGCAACCATTCGGTGAGAGGAGGAGTAGGAGGATCTTCTTTAGAAACACCTGTTTTCATAAAGCACATTGGGACTTCATATCTATATTACCTCTACTCTCATCAAACTTGTTTGGAAGTTGGCTGTTGGGTTTGAGCACTGCTATTGAAGATAATTGAAGTTGGATTTCATAAGCTTCATTTCCTTTAGGAAGCTATGTGCATAAAAATAAAGTTTTTAGTGGCAAAGAAAAATTGTAAATGTGAACAGCAGGGAATGGCTGCATGTGGGAATGTCTGAGCCACTGGAGAGGCAGCAGGAAGAGATGAAGGGGTCATTTTGGCAGGCAGTGCTGTCTGGTATAAACCAGGGCTGTCTGAAGGCGGGAGTTCTACTTTTTTGTGCCTCTGAATTAGACTATTTCATAATAATTTAAAGTGTTAAAAATAATATTTTTTACTTTTCTCTTTTATGGGAGTACAGATTTTGAAGACTCATTTTCAGGGATAGGTCACTAGCATTTCAGGAAGAGCCACATATGGCAAGAAGGTAAATTCAGTCTTGCTGCTGAACTTAGACTTGGCCTGCCCCCTTCTGCTAGCAGTGGTTAGGGCTTCTTGTTAGTGCTTGTGAAAAAGACTGTAGCATCCTTTGCTGCCGTGCCTGTCTCACTGGACCTTGGTCACAATCTTTACTTGCAGGGAAAAGGTGCTCTTGAGGTTTGCCTTAAGTTTGGAATTGCTGAAATCTGTCTTGGGCTGTGTTCATTCTACGCATCACAATTTTAATGACTAATGTAATGTCCCTGGGTTGCTGCAATGTTGAAAGGGTTTTGGGGCTTCTCCAGTTTCCAGGACTGGGAATAAAGAGTTTTAAAACCTGCAGACTTTGAAGTCTTAACCAGTGTAGGAGAATTGTTTTTGTCAACACTTACCACAAGTTGTCTTAATGCTTTCCTGAAATCCATGTGATTTCAGGTTTAGGCACTGCAGGATATAACTGAAGATACAAAAGTTTGTAATTCTATCAACAGTAAGAATTGTTTGATCCAACTCCAGCAAAAATGTTATGTGACATAATACCTCTGAAATTGCTTGAGGGGTTAAGAAATTACATTGCAGCATGAGGCTTGCTCTACTGAGTAAAGAAACAGCTAATTAATGAATGTGTGGGGGTTTAGCTTTTCTTTATATTTTCCTTCTCCTGTTCTTTCCCCTAGGAATGTTTCGGAAAAATGAAGACTTGACTCCATCACAGAGGTGTTTGGCTGTAAGGTAGGCTTTCTCACATTTCTGCTTTGGGGCTGTTTTGTGTGCTTTATTAATGCTCTGTGCATTTTCTACAGTTCACATTCAAGACAGAGAGTTTACAAGCTCATGTAAAACAGATCCATGCTTTTTATATTTGTAGCTTAATTTGTACATCTGTTCTTCCGAAAAATATCACTAGAAGTAGGTTTTATACTTATTTAGGAAAAGCATTATAAGTTCTATGCAGTGTATGCAAATTAATGTCATATCAGACAGGAGACTAGTTAACAATACACATATGAAGTAGCTGGTGAAGAAACATGCTTGTTTAATTCTGTTTTTCAGTATTTAACTTACCCTTTCTCCTTTCTTTATTCAGGAGACTTGAAAATACTGTGTTGTCTTGGGCAAGAGAGGCTTGATTTGAGACATTTGCTTTAATTGAAATTACTGCCAGTTAACACAAGGCTTTGTTTATTGATTCAAAATAGAGAACTTAATACAGTTGAACAAACAGAGAAACAGCCTTCCCTTTCCTTCCCCAGGCTCAGCTTCAGTCAAACACCTCTGCTGGGCAAGGACAGGGTCATTAGAGTTCAGGAGGTCTGTCTGAAAATGCTCAGTATGGATTGGAAAGAAATTCTGTGTGTAGAATGTTTCAAGCTGTGATTACAGAAGACACATAAACTGCTTTCGTACATGTGTTTTTTACTGCAATCAGAGTAAGAGATAACATGGAGTATGACTTTTCCTACTGTGGAAATTCTGTAGAACTACACATCCCATCTCACGAGTTGCTTGTCTTTGAATTACAGACGCATGCCAAGTCTACTGGAGTATTTAAGTTACAACTGTAATTTCATGGGTATCCTGGCAGGCCCGTTATGCTCTTACAAAGACTATATTACTTTCATTGAAGGCAGATCATACCAACTGCAACAGTCTGAAGCAAATGGGAAGGAAGATACAAAATATGAACAAACGGATCCTTCCCCAAATGTAAGATGTATGACTCTTGCAGTGCTGATGCTTACGTAATCATTGCATGAAAAGCTTGGTTTGCACTCTTCATTTACAGGCATAACTTCTGAGCTCTATCTGGAGTTCATTCATCAACAGAATACTTTCCTGCTCAAAAAGTTATATGCTTATTTTTTTAAGGCAGGTTTTCTCCATGGTTTCCAGACTGGATCTTGTGGATAAAAACAGATTAAATTGGAGCTTCCTAACAAGCTTATATGGTAAAAAGCCATCTTTAAATTAAAACAGTTCATGCACGTTTCCTTCAAAGCATATACTGTACTGAAAAAAAGTCCTGGTAAGGAGAAAGTGCACAATTTGTTGTTTGAAAGCTGATGAGAGTTCCAGCAAGGTTTCATGAATGTTCTCAAATTATGTTGGTTTTTAATGTTTATTTGCAACAAGTCGAAAACAGTCATATGTAACAAATTGAAAAACAGTCAAAGAGAAATAGTTTCATTTTTTTAGGCTTTGAATCATGTAGAGAAGAGATACTGAAGGTGTAGTAAAAGGTATACTAGCCATAACACTATGAATAGTATTCTTAGCCACATAATTCTTTTTTCTCCTTGTTCCTCTACTGGAAAAGAGACCAAATGGATAAATAAATAGTCCAGTTGATCATGCCTAGCAAGAGAGATTGTATGACCTGAATTAAAATCAAAAGCTCACAAAGCTTGTTACTTTTAAAATTCAATCCCATTAGTTTAATGATCAGAGTACTGGGTATTATCTTTTCACTCTTTTCATATTCTCTTAAGTAGAAGTGATCAGACATGTACATTTGTGTGTGCCTAAGATAATTATTAACACACATAAGAAGCAGAATTATCATGGGGTCAGCTGTAACACTTCAGATAGATGGCTTTTGCTAATTCCAGTGCCAGTTACCCATGTTCTTCTTATCTTGTGGATCACCAACTGTTGCTGGAGCAGATGAAGGCGTTCCCACACGTAGCTGCTTGTCTCATCCTGCCATCTAGAGATTATGTCCCACAGCTGGGCCGACAGGGAGTGCTTCCCCATCAGCTGTGGCATCTCCAACCACTTCCACCCTTTGAAAGTGGATGAGGGTTCTTTGCAGTTCCATTCTACCCATCTGATGTGGTTGTAGTAACTTGCACCACAGGAATGTAAAAGAGTGGCTGGAGGATGATAACACTTCAGACTGCTCCACAAGTTGACAAAGCACAGAAGCTCACACAGGTGTGCTGTGGAGCGAGTAGTTAGGAAGGGTGAAAGACAGGGAGAATTCTTTGCATCGATTGTGGCACCACATGGTCCATACTCTGCATGGATGTGTTGTATTGACAAAATTGCAGACACTTCTTTTGTTTCTAAATGTTGTTTTGGCTCAGTAAAGTCCGTGTACTAAAATCCTATTTCTACAGAAAAATGTTATGTAGTAAAATTATTGCAAATATATGGAATGAAACCAAATCTGCCCATATCAGTACTTTCCAGACATGCATCTACTAATTGCCTGATAGGATTTTCTGGCTTTTTATCACATAATCTTGCTAGCAATCTGGACAAAGTCAATAGGAATAAATGTAAACCTATGATGGCTTCTTCTTTCAGGTAAGCGGTTTTCCTTAAAACAATTGCTCTTAAGATGCTTGAAACTTTTTGCAATTTATGCTGCATTAGCTTTTGACATAAAAACAAAGAGAAGCTGTTTATGCTCTTGATACTCTATCTGCCAACTGGTGTTAGAGAAATTTGGCTGCATTTTATAACACCAGTGAGTATTGTGTGCTTTGGAGAAATATGAATGATAGCATTTCACTGCATTTGCTGCATCAAATAAAATATTCATTGTCTTGTTGTAGAAGAATGTTTAAATACCATTAACTTTGTATAAATACTTAAAATTCTCATGTTATTATTTCAAGAAGAATAAATTGTTAGGTAACTATAAAAAAGAAATTAAATTTAAAGGGGATCAGCAAATGTTAATGTAGTAAATGAAAAGAACGATCCTTGAGCTGAGTTAGAGTAAGTTTAATTTTTTGTTAAATATAATTACATAACCAAAGTAGTTCATGCCAGCCTCCTCCTCTGTAATGTGTGTTGACTGCATGATGTTAACTTGGTTTAGTATTTTTGCTGTGTTCATTGCATGTTAAATGAATCAAGTCACCATATTAAAACTTACTTCTTATATCCCTCCTATTGTGCCTTTTTGCAAGCTATCAGTTGTTGGTGCTCAAAGTGGTGTCAACTCTCAGAAATTAATATCTGTCTTTGTAAGTTTCTTTTTATTATGGCTACCCTTAGATTCCTGTCAGCAGATATCTGCTTTTTTGCTTGTTATGCAGACTCTTCGTACAGGTTTTAAAGTTCTTTCTTAATTACCTATAATTTTTATCTGAAGTACCCACCTCCCCCACATCATGTGCTTTAATATAGTTCAATATTACACTGAGCTTCTTGTTGATTATCAGGCAAGAAGTTCATTCAAATAAAAATTTTAAAGATTCCTCTCTACTTTTTTGTATCTGTTTTTATATATTATACATGTTTATACAGTAATATATTTCTAAAATTCCTGAACTCTGTGAGTGTTTTAGCTTTATTTCTTCAATTTAAAAGCTGTTCCTGAACTCCTTTCTCAAATTAGGTATCTAGCTTTCAACCTAATTATATTCCCATCTAATTTATGCACATTTAATTGTGTCCTGGCACTGTCTTCTAGCTTAAGTACCTTTTCCACTTCCCAGTGTTGACCATATTTGATATTTTTATACAGGTATGCCCAGTTGCTCATCAAAACTAAATGAACCAGGACTTTCTACCTTTTTGTTGTAAAATAATTTGTATGTGCTAATTCATGTCAGGTCAAACTTATCCTGCATCTTATGGTCTTTTAATTCCTTAACAGACCAGTTATTTTGGTACGTTGAAAACTTTAAAGAGCAAATGAAATTAAACTTCAAGTTATTTCATCCTTGTAAAAACTGACCAACGCTCCTATGAATGTGCAATCCAGTGATTGCCCATTTATGCTTTGGCAAAGAAGCTTTTATTAATAACCTGGTTAATTAAGTAATAGGAAGTGAATTAATGTTTTACCAAATGCATTTCTATAGGTAATTGAACTGTAGGGTTATGTTGGTGTCAGTGCACAGTGTTGTAGCCTGGTTCAGATAATTTGATCTAACCTGACTCTAACTTGCCATTAAAAACGAACCAAACAAAAAAACCACTCACCAAAACACACCAGAGAACAAAACACCTCCACTCCCCCTAAAGCCCCCAACAACAACCAAATAAAAAACCCCACATAAAATGCCAAAAATCGAGGTTTTCATCTGATTTGTTTCTCTAATGTAAGGAACAAGAGCCAATCCTGCAGCCAAGGAGTGGAGGCAGGGCAGAACTGATGCTTTGCATTGCAGCTTGTGTTTGGTTTGTCCTTCAGAAACTCTGCTTAAACCAGTCTGGAAACTGCAGCTCCCAGACTTTGTAGAGGCAAGATATTTATCTCCACCACAGTTTTCTAAGGACACTAATATCCCTGATACTGATTCCTGTAAGTGGTATCAGCAGGCTGGGATGTATAATTATTGAGTGAAGTAGTATAATTTAAAAAAAAAAAAAAAAAAGAAAAAGTTGAATTTGTGGCAGAGTCCTGTATGAGTTCATTATTTTTTCTTAAGGTAAATTTTGTTGAAACCAAACCTTAAAAGGAGGGTTCACACCTCCACAATTTAGTTAAGAACCTTCAGAGAGGTACTAAACAGATTTCGGGTTGAATGGGCAGATTAATGATTTTTATTTACTAATAGAAAAATTGATAAACAATGGCAGAGGCACAAAGCAGGTCTTTAAACAGACATAACATGACTTATAAGTTGCCAAAACAGTTTTTTAGACTTTATGGTGACTTTCAGATGGAAAGCACCTATTTTATATATTCATGCTCATATTTTGATTGTTAGTGTTACCAGATTATAAATATTGTTTCTCATGTGAAATTGAACATGACTTTTAATTGTAGCTTAGACTTTGAAGTTAAATTGTTGCAGCTGTCTTCAGAACTTTGGGGTGATTCCTTTTGGTATTTACAAACATCAAACTTTTGCATTTATCAGGTACTGCATACCAGAATTCAAGATTCATTAGTGTTATTATTAACACTGATTTTAAGAACATAACTTTTTCAGGAATTGAAATAGAAATTAAAGCAAACTGAACTTTGCTTCTGCTCTAACAGAGAGAGAGGTGGAATAATAGTTCTAGAATAAGAAAGGAACACTTTTAGAAAGTTAACGCCCTTCATTTTGAACTCTTGTTGTAAAGTATTCAAATGAGGCTTATTAGAAAGCAAGTAGAAACAAGTAATTAAACACCAGTTTTAGCCATTAATTGGTAGCTGCCTCCTGAATTTCCCAGCTGTGTTTTTTTAAATAGCTGTGATTCCTGATCCTCTCTGAAGTATCTTCTGAGATGAGCCACATGAAATATGTGTAATATTCAAAAATATCCTCACCATTTTACAGCTTTGCCAAGTCAAATTTTTTATCAGGTTGTATCACCTGTATCATCTGTGTGACTGGGTGAATCTTTGATACTGTGTGTCTTGCCAAAGTCTGTGTTTTCAGTTGGATGTTTAATGCTCCATTCTGTATCATGAAACAGAATTATCCTTTATTTTGGAACTAGATATGTGAAGCTGAACTCTCATTGAAGCAGAATGTTATCTTTAAAAGTTTGGGCAGGTATACTGGAAACAGCATGGACAGAAAAAGGATTCTGATTATCTTTTTGTTCTGATGCTTCAAAGAAAAATAGATTGTTTTCTTTAGTTTCTGGAGAATTTTAATGTAAATTAAAACTGTAATGTTTAAATATTGAGGTTACTTAAAATAAAAACTTTAAAATTACGTTTTAATGAACCAACTCTCAAACTTCTCTTTTGTTGGTACTTGGTTAAAGTGTTACCATGTTCTGTGAAAGTTCCTAAAGTATCTGTCCTTGGGGTGTGGATCAGACTAGTGATTTAGAGCAGTCACTCTACGGTTTATAATAGAACCATAGAAATGTTTTCCTAAAAATAATACTGATTCTTTACTGTGCTGGTTATAGATAGCAAAGCTGAGTTTTGAGAAAATCTGAGGAGGTCCTACCCAAACAACATAATTTTACACATCTGTGAGCATATTATTTGTCCCCTTATAGCTTGATCATTCTTGTTGGGAAAACAGATCTATATAGAACTGAGGTATTTTGGCTGAAAATTCATAAATTATTTCAATATTTTAGTTGGTTTAGCGTTTAAATACTGTAATAATCTAGCAGAGATGATTGCTATATTAAGTTGGGCAGCAATTGAACATCTGCATTATGCCAAAGATTACTGAAAATAAACTGAAGCTTTGCCATTGTTTTGGCATCTCTACAGTAGTTGTACTCTGTCCTAGATTATATGTTTTGTGTTATGATGTCTTAAAAATTTACTTGCTTCATTACTTTGGCAATGAAATAAGAAAAAAAATGGAGCTGCAAAAGGTGTTCCCATTATTGAAGGGTTTTTAGGGGCTTACTGTAGTCAGACTGGATTTGTTGTGTTTGCCAGGAGAAGGGGTGCTCACAACTTGATCAATGTAACAATATTCCTTGAGTCTCTGTAAAATGTTACCAACTATTTTAAAGTTGGTAGTATATATTACAGAAAAATTGATATACATTTGTATCTGTATAGGGAAGGAAGGTTATAATTTTCCTTTGTTTCCAGAAGATAAAAAAAAATGAAGCTTACAAATTCTTCCATCTTAAACTTTCAGATAGCTGTGGCACAGAAACTCTTGATCTGTGGACTGTCCCTATTCTTCCACATGACTATTACAAAAACTTTGCCAGTGGAATACAACATTGATGATAACTTCAGAGCTACAGCATCATGGCCTGTAAGGTTTTTCTACCTATATGTGTCTCTTATGGCTGCCAGACCCAAGTATTATTTTGCATGGACTTTAGGTAAGTATATATTTAAAAATATAGTAATAACAAAAAGAGCACGTGTTGAGTTTCATTTAAGATGCTGCACACTTAAGCATATATTAAAAAGTGGCAGTGCCCTCTTGAGGCCTTAGGAAAACCTGATTGCATTGAAATATTCTGAGGTATTGGCAGAGTATATTCCATAGTGTCTCTCTCTTTGAGAAACAAAAGGTACCAGAAATGTAAGCACAGTGTTGCGTCAGTGTTGCAAATGAGATCTTAGTCTCCTTTAGAAGTCTGAGTGAAACTTTAGGAGTTTTGGGGGGTGGTAGTGTTTTAATGAGCAACAACTTTAAAAAATAATAATAATAAAAAAATAAATCTAGTTTAATGTACAATCCCTCTTTTTTTCTTTTAAATTCATTTTGATACCTTGATTTTTGGCATATCTTTTGGCAAAGTTAATTTTTTGTGGTTAGTAATTTGCTTGATGTTACTCAAGCATGAAAGAAAATGAATATATTGAAATTCAGATGTATTGTACTTTTGCTAATAGTAGGTGGCATCTGCAGTACTGTTTTCAGAATCTGATGGGTGTCACTTCAGTTTTAGTCTTTGTTTACTAAAAGTTTGGATGATAGGTGAGAAAACATCCTTAGTAATTGATTTAAACTTGAATAAATTATATAGTTTAAAGAACCTTTTGTGTTTCACTTCATGTTATTTGAAAAAGACAACACATACAACAGAAAAATACTTTATTCGTGTAAGTTGACATCTTGGAAGTGGCTCACACAACAGATTTCATCAGCTTCCTCCTCCTCTCCAGTTTTACATATTTGTTTCATAATTCTTTTGAGAGAGAATCTGTGGGAACAATGCAATAAAGAAAGCTTTAGTGTAGCAGAGCAGCATGACTCATTTACAGCTGCTGGTTTCATTCCTGGTCAATGAATGAAACGCTTTCAGCTTGTCTGGATATAGTAATTCTGGGGCTTGTTGTGGAATGAAATAATTTCAAATATTCTGGTCTTATGCACCCGTATCATCATCTGTAAATCATAGGAGTCATCTGAAAAATGAATAATCTTAGTTGGTGGGATTTTTCCTTTAATACTTCAAATAGACTTGTCCTTATGCACTTGCTAAAAGTATAGAGCTAGCATTCCTTTGGTAAAATACCAACAAAAATAAACGATGCCAACTCTGTGCTTTTAGTTTGCTAAATATCTTTTTTTAAACCTTCTTCCTTCCACTTTGTCTCATCTAAACTTATATTGGTAGGAGTAGAATATGAAGGGGCTTTAGCAGTTTTACTGGATGTTATGCTGTTGAGTTGTATGCTACTTCAGAAAAAAAATTGTTAATAAAATAAATTACTTTAAAGAAATAATTACTAAAATGGTTGTGAATAAAATGAGTAGTTACTCTAGCTGTAGTCTTTGTACTTTAGCTAGCAAAAGAGTATGGGATTTGTGTCTTCAGCTGTTTCTAATTGAGCATAAAACCATTGCCTAATATTTGAAGTTGACATCAGTGACATCAGATGTAGGGCAGCAGATTTTGTTGCTTTCAAAGATGCTTTTTTAAAAAATTTTCACAAGAAAATAAAAATATTATAAATTACCCTGTATTCAATGAAATGTTACAAAGCCCTTTTCCAAACTGGTGGATAACAGGAAAAACTGAACTTCAGGAAAGAAACCGTTTGTGTGTTTGAGTCAATTGTTTCTTATACTTTCCAAATACACAACATTAATACCTTCAAAAAGTTGTTGAGAAGAAAGGAAATTACAGAAGATACAAATTTTTCTTAACATGTGACTATTGTATGAAGTAAATTCTTTTCAATGTGGTAATAAAACCTGTGCAGTATCTCCCACATTCCTGGCTGTAGTTGAAAAGGTCACAATCTAATTACAGTGCTTTAGATGAATTCTGAGCTAACAAAGAGGGCCCTGTAACTAGAGGACTAGATCTGTATGGCTTCTGCAGAGCCTCTTGCCTGCCTTAATTCCAGTTCCTCAGGACTCCTGTGACATGGTAGAAGGGCTGGCATTCTTCTGCCCATGGTCCCTTAGCCATCCATGTCAGTGGTTGGGTTCGTGCCTCGTGGATGTGTGTCCATGTTTGGGTGCATTCCACCAAGCGCCTGGTTCAACAGAGGGAACGCTTGGGAAAAAAAACCATCTCATTTCCTTGCATGTGGCCATCCTAATTTGAACAGCTGAGGAAATTTTAATGTCTGAGCTAACAAAGCTCAGGCAAAAGTAATGACTGAAAGGGGCAGGCAGCAGAGATCCCTTGGATTTTCCTGTGTAGTCTGGATGACAGCAGTGCTTTTTCTCCTAGGCAAAAACATTGTTTGCTTTGAACTATCTGACCTTTGACGTGCAGTGTAGACACGTCACATTCAGAGGTGTTAACAGTGACCTTGTTCCACTAGTGGAGGTTTGACAAATTCTGCATCACTTAAAAAATTACTGTTTTCTTTTGTTAGGGTTGCACTGCTCTGCATGGGGTGCTGTGAATGTGCACCTGCTTGAAGGGAATTGTGCAATTTTATATTTATGCATTAAACATTGCTGTTGCTGCATAGTGAAGACCAAGGACACGCATCTGAGCGTTGAGCTGCTGTCTCAAATCATTACAACCAGATACTGTTTCATAGTCTTGATGCATCTTATTAAGTTTGTTTTTCTGTCAGATTGCTCAAGCAAGTCTAAGTAGATGCTATGAGAGAGAGGGAACACCTGTACTGTGAAGTAGATAGTGCTGCCTTTCATTCTTATGCTTTTGTACAAGTTTTTGAATTGAAATCCAGTATGTTGCTTGGATTGTTTTCTGTTTGTTCAAGTGATCCTCAGTATTTAAAAGAGAAAATAAATGTAGCCTTTAAGGTGTGATAAATACTTTTAACAAACTACATGCTGTGTGATGCACAATTTGTAATACAGGTGGTTTATAATTAATTTGTTTCTTTTTGTTTCTTTGCAGCAGATGCAATTAATAATGCAGCAGGGTTTGGTTTTAGAGGCTATGATAAAAATGGAGTTACACGTTGGGATCTAATATCAAATCTGAGAATCCAGCAAATAGAGGTTTGTTTCTGGCTCTTTTAAAAAAACCTACATGCCCATGTAGGTAGTTGTTTGTAATTTCAGTAACTTTCCCTACGCATTTTGTTCCTTAAGGCAGTGAATACGTTTTAAGTCAGAAATGCTGTGTTCACATCCTTAGGAAAGGATGGAAAATAGTCTGTTTTGAACATGTTCTACTTGTCAGTTGTCTTCCAAAATATTTTGTGGTTATAAGTAGTTGAGCAAATAACTTATTCAACTCATCACAAAATTGGTGGGGGAGGGTTTATAATTTATACATGAGAATTTTGAAACACTTTATAACACTTTATGATTATAAAAATAATTAATTTTTTTTACTTTACAGTTTTCCACAAGTTTCAAGATGTTTCTTGATAACTGGAATATCCAAACAGCTCTTTGGCTCAAAAGGTATTTATTTCTTAAAGGAAAGCTTTTTTCCACTGAAATTTCTTAGATAAATATTTCTTTGAAGATGATGTAACATTTAAAGCTAAAACCCCACAAAACATCAGTTGTTTAGCAACTCCACAGGACATTCTTCTTGTAATACTTGAATTAAAGCCTCTGAATTTAAGACTTCACTCTTAGTGTAGACTGTCAGGTTATGACAGAAACAGTTTTTCTTCACTGGCCAAAGGGAACATAAAACTGTTAATCTGTGGAGGCGTCTTTTTTCCTCTCTTAGCATTCAAACCAGTGCATGTTGCTGAGAACAGCAGGCAAAACCTACATCTCAGCCTGTGAAAGCTCTGCATTATTTTTAGCCAGATAGTGATATAGGAACTTCCATACGTTTTGTGAGAGATCTTTCTGTGCTCCTTCCATTAAGAGTTGCACAAGAGACATCAAACCCTACAATGTGCTGTCAACAGAAATTGCAGATATCCCTCAGCTGCACTCTTTCCTTGTCTGGGAAACAGGTATAGTGTCCTGTGAACTACATCTTTCTACTTCTTTGTGGTAACTAGAAAGTAAAAGTGTTCCTGAGTAGCATGTGAGTGTTGTTTCCCTTCTTCCAGTCTGTTGAGTTGGATCTCTATCAATAGGTGCAAGTTTGAGACCCTTATCTTGGGATCACTCAGAGGGCTTAACCCCTTATTCTAAGATAGCTGGCAACAGGATGTTTCTTCCATCAAATTTCTTCATAGTGTTTTCTCTTCCTTTCATAATTTCATCCCTAAATATTTTGCTGACTCAATTAAAAACAGAAATTGAGTTTTATGTGATTATTCTGGTTGGCTCAATGGTCAACAGGATCTATTGCTAAGACAATGAACAAAGAAGAATTGCATGTTTGCAGGTATTGAAATGTATCATTTAATAAAGAAAATAAGTTATCTAGCTATTTTAATTTAGTTAGAGAACAGAAATTTATCAGTATTAAAACTTAACAGGAAAAGGATGTATTTCAGCAAACTTTCAAATCTCCTAAATTATTAGTGAAGAAGCATAACACTTCTGCTAAGAATTGAAAGAAAAAAAATTCAAATCAGTTGCTCAGAGTGACAATAAAATAAGATGTGAAGAAAAATTAAAACATCTCCTTTAATAAATATTTTTTAAAACAATAGTAGAAGAATCTTTGAGGATAGTCTTAATCTTTGAGGATAATCTAATTTTATTCTACCACAGTGAAGGGGAGAAGGGTGGATGTTTTCTGGAGGTTTTGTTGCAAGTAAGATTGTTTTAATTGATTGTATATGAGGTCCATAGATAGTGTTAGAGAATATATATTATATTACTAATAATTTGGTTGGTTGCAATGCTACAACAATTAGAGTGGAGCACAAGCTTATGTATTACTTTAAACATCCACTTTTAATGCCTCACCTTTTTACCATTTATAGAAGTACCTAAACTGTTAGCCATTTATCTCACATGAAATAGCAGACATCAGCATTTGTTCTGGTTTTTTCTGATACTCTCTAAAGCAAAACTGGACCACCAGAATCACAGGATTTAAACCCTGATTGTGTGTAAAAACAAACTCCTTGTAAAAAACACAGTTAATGGAGCTACAGATCACAAAGAATTTTAGTAAACGTTTAACGTAGATCATATGATATAGCAATTCAGAGCTGTTATTGTTACAAGGATGCAAGTTAAAATAGATGTTTACATGGCAGCATATATCAACAATACATACCACAATAGTGTTTCCTGACTGGGAAAGCTGTTACATTCCCCCCTCAGCCTGTTCACTCTCTTTTCTGAAGAAACCATCTAATGCCATTTGTCTTTGGTCATGTTTGCAAAACTTCTCTGGTTCTTGTTACTTGATTCTGACCTCTTTCCAAACTTCCTGTCTTCTTAGAGTGGATGTAGTATTTCTGCTAAGACCTTCAAGGTCTTTCCCTGGCTTGTTACAGGCTGAGTTGAATAATTTGACTGGATTAATTGCCATTATTTTCTGTAGGTAATACTGTGATGTATTAGGAAGAGTGTTATATCTGTCTTTTTTTGCAGCAGCAATCTACTGTTGATTCATGCTCAGCTGATATTCAGCGTTTCATACTGTTGATTCATATTCATACCCAGCTACGCCTTTTCAGGAATGTTACAGGAATGGTACTGTTTTGTATCTTCCACTTTTCTTATTAGATGTTCTATGCTTTGGACTTCATCTTGTTGATTTCAGAACATCCTTCAGTCTATCAAGATCATTTTGGATTCTAGTGCTATATCGGCTAAGAAAACAATGCCAATCTCGTCCATCCCACCTTCCACCTCAAAAAAGGAAGGGAAGACAAGGTGGAAAAATGTACTTCTCAGTCTACCACCCAAGTTAGTAATGAAAATATAGAACCAGACAAAAGGCAGTACTCTTCTTGAACAGTTGATGCATCCTCCCACTTCTAGAGCAAATTATGGATAAGATAACCTGAACCACCTGTATTTGAATATATTTTTGCAACCTGTTGTGATGACCATATTTCCTTGGTGTGTTTTTAGGAATGTCAAATGAAGCATTTGAACATGATTTATTATTACCAAATCCATGGAAGAGTTTAAGTGTACTTTTTACTCTTTGAAATTGAAACCTGATGATTTTTTGTAGTATATCTTACCTGACTTGCATTGATACAGCTGAAATTTGGTTAGTTAATTTGGTTAATTAATTTAGTTAGTTTTGTTAGGTCTTGAATGCTTTTCAGGGAACTATTTCAGTAGTTTAAACCAAATAAAGATTGAAGCCATGTATCAGTTTATTAATGAGACATAATTAACCACTGCTCAGTAAAATATATGTTCAGAATTAATAGCAGTACTAGAACAGATAACACTTTGTGTGTGCTTAGTGCTGTGGTTTAATAAACATTTCTAAACCCTCTTCTGTAACTAATCCCGAGCAGTTTAAAAAGCACACATGTACACACACAGTTACATGCAAACTGCACCTCCTCTCCCAAGGACATATGGGATGCAAACCCACACCTCCTCCTGGGAGTCTGGGCCCCCTGCTTGTATGCACTACCTGCGGGAGACGTGAGTGCTCTAACTCGCTGTGAATCTGCTGATTCACATGCCCATTAGAAAAGCACGCCACAAATTCCTGTACCTGCAGCTGACAGGGATGAGATCCTGCTCCCTGGCATGGCACACTGCACTGACAGTCCCCTACCTGGGTGCAGGGATGCTACTATGTCTACCAGGGATGCTCTGTCTTGGCTGAGACAGAGGTCATAGTGCTGGTGGGGTGACGTCTGTCAGTGTCAAACGAGGTTTTGGTGACTGGTATTTTGCTCCAAGATGTCTCCCTGACTCATCACAAATTTTCCTAAAGCTTTTGTACTTCTGAGGCTGACAGATTCTTTGTCAAAAATGTTTCTTTGAAATTCTATGTTTACTATTTAGCCTGGCCCAGTGCTGCTTTTGTCTTTAAGGTGATGTACTTGGGGCAAATGTCCTCAGATAGTTTTGTGTATTAAGCATGCAAGCACCTGCCCTCCACTTAGCCCCATGTTCTCATCTTATTGGCCATTGTGAGTGAAGCCCTTTGGCAGGAGGAGAGGGTTGTGCTCATATCCTGCACTGAAGACCTCATAAGATAAAAGTTATCACATCTATTTGACTGGAATAAACTAAATTAGCAAAATACACTTTTGATCTTTCCCTATTCAGATGCTGTCTTTTTGCCTTCTGCTCTTCAACATTGACTGCATCAGTAGGTCTCAGTAATCTTTTGTATACATGGAAGTTGTAGTAAAGTAGTTAGATTAGTAGTGACTGTTTCAGCCCTCTGTATCATTAGCTTGTCATCTTCTTTAAATAATAGACGTGAATTCTCTTCTTTTTTTCTGTTACTTGCTATGTGGTTACAAAACCTTTTACATATTGGTGTCTATGGCCTTTTTAGTTAAAACTCATTTTGTGTGTTAGCTATAGATTTGTGTTCATGCATGGTTGTGGTGTTTATTTTTGCTTCATGTTAGTTTGTATCTGTTTCCATATTTCCTATTGCTTTTTGGTTTTCAGATCATTAAAGACAATAAAGAAATCTTGGTGAAGCCATATCAGGACCTTACCATGTTTCCTATCATTCTTCCACATCATGATGGTTTGTCATTGTGTCATATAATGTTGTCTTCTAGAAAATACCTTTCTTGGATTCTTTTTTCCTTTCTTTCTTCTAGAATTCTTTACTATAGGACCTTGCCTAATAGTTCAGAGTCTCAATTTTTAATTAATAGAGTTCAGCATTGTCCTTATTTGATACTCTTGCAACACTAGAGTATTTATTACAATTTCATCATCATGCTCACCTAATTGTGTCACATAGACATATTTTCAACTCTAATCTCTTTATTATTCAAAATTGAAGGGAGTAGTTACTTTTCCCATTCTCCTATAGGCTGCTTTCATTTTGTGAAAAACATGTATCTGACTCATTGCAAGAGTCTCCAGGGTTGCCTGCACTTTCCAGTGTAGCTTTTCAAACACATTCTTGGATGGCTCAAGATCCCTCATTAACACCAACACCCATCTTTGGATGATTGTGTATCCCTTCGTTATGAATAAGTACCATGTGTGATGGCACTGAGCACAGGTTTGCACTGAGGGCTTAACTGGGAGCTGTGAATAGCTCTAAACATTTTCTGTGAGTCATAATACAGTGGCAATATTATTAAATAATAGGAAATTGCAATTGCATTCAAACTTCTGTGTTGGAGATGCAACTGGTAAAAAGTAAAAAGGATGACTGAGAAGATTGTGAGTGACTTGTGTTATTTATCTTGAATTGTTTTTGACTTGCTAGAGTGTGCTATGAGCGAGCCACCTTCAGCCCAACGATCCAAACCTTCATCCTTTCTGCCATCTGGCACGGGGTTTACCCAGGATATTATTTAACATTTTTAACAGGAGTACTAATGACACTAGCAGCACGAGCTGTAAGTACCAACCAAGTATCTGCTTAAATAATATGTTTTGTTAAAGAAAATTAATCATATTCTGTAGTCCAAAGATGCCCTTTACAGTTTATATACAATCTGTCTGATAGGGGTGTTTACTTTTTTCACTTAAGAGAGCAATGGGAATGATTAGATGTAAGGAAGGGTTGATTGGTGGAAACAAAGAAGACTGTACACAGCCTATAACATCTTTGTAGCATATCTTTTGTGGAAGCTCTTCCTCTGTATTAACTGATCCTCTGTTACTGGCATAATGAATAGGTTGATGTTATCTAAGATAATTTTGAAGAAATCACTGATGATGAGTAGCTTGAAATGTGGATGTTAATGCTATATATTATAGAGTCTTACTCCTCCCTAATTTCTGTCCAGAACTAGTGTAAAGGTGGTAACTAAAGAATGCTCCCTGTCAAGCAGCAGATAAAAATCTCTAGTGCAGCTACCATTTCAAGTTGGCCAGCCAGCAGTGCAGTCACATTAACAAGCTTTTGCAGCTGCTACTCAGAACCATATGGAACCAGCAAATCTGCCAAGAAATCTCTCACAGTTCTGCTTGAGAAAGCTGTGTAAGAACAGAGACAGGTTTATCAGTTACTCAGTGGAAAAGAGGAACAAATTACATGTCAGAGCAGCATAACTGACCACATTTTTCATTGAAAGAACCAGGAAAATAAGAAATGAAGCAGACTGCTCTTTGTTGCTCTAATAGCTAGGGAAGGTGGTATTTCAGACTTGGGTTGTTTCTACAGCAATAAAACAGATGCATCTCTTTCTTCACAAGCTGAGGGGACAGTCCTTGTTTGACAGAACTGACTCCTTTCTTTACAATAGATGTAGCTTTCTTCTTCTTCCAGACTATCACAGGGAACTTTTGACATTTATCAGCCAGGGGCTGGTGCAAAAGCCAAGGTTCTGGGACAGTTCTCAGGTAAAAGTCGTTTACTCAGTGAGATGAGTCCAGTAAATTGGAGTGTTCACTGCACTTCATCCTGAGTTTCTCTAGTAAAGTGTGTTGTATTCACATTTCATATGTATCAATCAATAGGCTAGTAAAAAAAAATAGTTTGAGTTTCTGTATTAACAGGTACTTAATATTAACTGCTAAGATATATTAGAAGTACTTCAGCATAGTCATTATTTAACTCTATTAGCCTTTAACTGCAAAGTGTGGTAGCTTTGGTCCACACTTTGTTCTGTCATGCCTAAGCATGTATTCAATTTGCTTTACCTCCTTTAATCATTACACATTTCAAAATCAGGTATTTACTAGGGGCAGTTGTAGATTTGTGTTTAAAGTTGTCCTTCAAGTCCTAAAATACAAGATTTCTCTACAAGAAGTTCTGTGAAGCTTCATCTGAATTCTACAGAACTCAGGAACAAGTCATTGCATGTGACCATAGGAGGAAACTGGGCGGAGATTAGGATGAAGTGTATATGGCCAGAATGACTTGTTTTACTTAGCTTAACTAAGCAAAGGCTGAGTGGCAATGCTGTATCTACAAGGCAATTTGGGTAAGAACAAGAAGGGTAAAGAAAGATTTAATGTAAAGAATTAAATCAGCAAGAGCTAGCCTTGGGTATGTTCTTTGGAAACAGGAGTTCTAAAGAAACGGAGATTTGAAGAAACTAAACTGTGCACTTTGGTGCTGCATTTTTGCTTCAGTGCAAGTGACTGGGAGATGGAAACTGTGATACCAAGCTCACAGAGGCTGAATGGAGCCCATCTTGGCTTCTCAGCAAATAAGATTTAAAGCAAGGATGGTAGTTCAGTCAAAGGAAGGAAGGACAAAGATTTACTGGTGTCTTTTAACTATAGACTTAAATAAAACTGAACCCAAATCTGTGTGGGTTTTGGATTTGGATTTTTTTCAAATACCTTTGTTGTTCTGTTGTTTGAACAGAATTTTACAAACAAAAGAAGACAGCATAGAATATTTAGTCAGTTTATATCAATCCCACTAGATAATAGTTGTTATTAAGACTTCTGAAATATATAATTAGAACTGATATTTTGTATATTCTGATTTATACTCTGCTTGTCCTAAAATATATCTTATAACAAGTATATGAAAATGACTTACCATATAGAAGCTTTCATCAGGATTCTAGCTTTCATTTATTGCAACCCTCTATATTTATAGAATGCCTTGATAGAATAGAGTTGTCCTGATTCAGACAACCAGTGCAAAGTTGCATTGGGTTTTATGGAGGATTCATTTACTTAAATTCTGCTTAAATTGATAAATGCTTAAATTCCTGTGTTGGATGAAGAGCAGGGAATTTGAACTGACTCCTGTTGAAGTTGATGGACATTTTGAGTAGTTCAAAGATATTTGACCAAACTGTAGCATTTCAGTTCATCCTATGAATTTTGTGTCAATGCAACAAACTGAGCTCCCAAGGTTTATTCCTAAGCTAATTTTCTATTACCTGCTTTTTCAGATAAGAAACAATATCAGACACTATTTTGTTGAATCTCCTGCTGTTAAAGTGTGTTATGATATTATAACATGGATGGCAACTCAAATAGCAATAAGTTACACAGTCGTGCCATTTGTACTGCTCTCTGTAAAACCCTCTTTCACCTTTTACAGGTAAGCACATTCTGTTTCCTTTTCTCTAACTTGAAATAGAAGTGTTTTCTGCAGTGTAAGATTTTTGAAGCTATTGTAATCATAATTATAAAATTGATTTGTTATCTGAGTGGACTGTATTTCTGTTCCAGTGCTTGAACGTGGTGTGTGTTGTGTATGAAAAACCTTAGAGTGCTTTCATTTTGCTGTCATATTAGACTTATTTTTCCTGGGGCAGGGAAAAAAACCCAACCAAAAACAAAACAGAGGGTACCTTAGAGATTACTATATGCCCTTGAATTATTTTACAGCAAGACTAGATATTGACTTCCCAGAAGTACCTTGTGAAAAAAAGTTGAAAGCGAATTTCTGTTCACTTTACATCTTGCTACAGCACTAAATACTGTAAAGGAGGACTTAATTTCTGATTTCCCCCTTATTTTACTTTTCTTAAAGGAAATACTAATGTTTTCTTATCTTACATTCGAAGTATGCAAGTAGGTTTTGACAGTTTATTCCTTAAGTATCCTGTATGAGTGGTGAAAGTTTTATTGAATTATTATTTCTCTTTGTTTTTTAGCTCCTGCTATTTCTGTCTTCATATTGCCAGCATTCTGGTGTTGTTGGTATTTCCATTGAAAAGAACTCAAAAAGGAAGTAAAAAGCATGAAACCATCCAGCCTGTGTGGTCCAAAACACTAGAAGAAGAAAATCTTTTGCAAAAGAACAGTTACTCCACAACAAATAATAGTTTCAGTCAGAAACAAGAAATAACCTGCAGATATCAAACATTAAAACAGTGATTAAGGAAATACTATGATGAATATATTTTGTATGTTTTCAGAAACCCATTTTTAGCACCTTTTAAAGGGGTTTGTATTTGTTTGCAAAGATGTTTAGTAAGAAAAGAATGCATTACCTAGGAAAATCACATTCAATAGCAAGACTGGAAACAAAACAAATTAACCCCTCCCATGCCATGTCCCTGTGGGTCACGCCTTATATGAAGATGTTACCATTATTTCAATGGGCACTCAGGACTTGCAACGTATGTCCATAGGGTCATATGTGTGCCCTTTGCTGAATGTACGTTGTGTATCCCAAGGCACTGATGGGGTGGAATAAAATTGTGTCAATCTAGGATTAACAAATGGAAAATGATTTTTCCAAATGAATGACTTGCCTTAAACCCTCTATTTACTGAAATATTGTTTCTAAGTGGGTGTTTTCAAGTTTGATTTTACATGGAAAGCGCATTTCAAATATATAACACTATATGCTATAACAAAGATAAAAATAGGAAATGCAAAGTCACTAGAAGGCTTTTGAATCTTTAAAAGGGAATTGCAATAAGCATCTCAGTATTTGGAGGGTTTTCTTAAAGTATCTCAAACCATTACAGTACATTACAGAACTGTAAACATTGATGCCAAATTATAGTTAGGTTTCTTTCATAAAGAGTACGATTACTCTGAATGGATTAAAATGGCCCTTCTGAACAGATTAAAAACAACTCAAGGTTCACCTTTTCCAGGGCTTGATGGCTCTAATGTAGTTTCCTTTTATTTTAAAGTACCTAAACCCAATAAAACACTGCCAACACTTTGCAGCTAGAGGAGAAAAAGTGGCCGTAAGGCACAGAAGACAACGTGCAAGCACTGGGATTTCAGTGAAAGTGTAGTTTTGCCCTTAAATACCAGAAATACTTGTTCTAGAATAGAACTGTTTTACAAAATGTGATTTTTAATACTTAAAGTTATTTTGAATTTTCAGGCATCAGTTAGTTGATGATGCTTTCAGTATAAAATAGCAAAATTACCTTGAAGCTCCAGCGTGTAGGTAGTCAAATATGAAATGACTATCATAACCAATTTCTATATGCTTGATAATTGATGGTCCTTTATCCAAAGAAGTGTATGAATTTGAGGAAAAGTTTTTTCTTTAAATTTTAGATGCAAAGTTCATATCATATTTGTGGGTAACCTAATAGAAGAAAGAAATCCTTCAGAATATCTGACCTACTGAATCATGGAAGTGTGTCAAGGAAACAATGCAGTGGTTATGTCTATTCCAGACCATTTATTGTGATGATGGTCACTGCTAGAGTACTGCTGTTAAAGGGCTACATTTTAATTGCTTATATTCTATATTTTCTTATAATTTTTTTTAAGTAAACTCAAACTGTTTATCCACATGGGGTTTATTTTTAATTTTAAACCAGACACAAAATACTACCGGAGAAAAATAATGCAGCTTGTTGATTAATAACTAGCAATGAGTGAGAAAAATGTTGTAATATTTTGAACCTTAAATTTTTCATTGAATATTTAGGACCGGTCAGATGAATATTGTTAATACTAGAAGTGCAATGATGGTCCTCAGCTTTGGGGATATAACCATGCAAAAATTGTCACAGTACTTCTGGTGTACTCTCAAAGAACCAGATCCTGAGTTTGGTCAGAGTTGTTTCTGTGCTGCCATAGTTCTGTATCTGGCCTTTGACTCCTTGCCTAAAACTCCAGGAGGAGGATAACATACTTTTCCATATATATAGGTTAGCACTAATTAGTCTACACAGTTAGGAAGGGGAAACTGAATATTAAATGAGAGCAAATGAGTCTGTTTAGATGAGCAGGGATGTTCATTGTTTCAGTGACAGCTGTATTATCTTTAAGATAAAATAATCTGATTTCTAAATCCTTACTTTGATTGCCCAAGTAGATTTCCCCTTACATGGGGTCATGGTTATCATATGCCTCTTTGAAACCACATTATGCTTTTCTTGTTAATAATAAGGGAACACTAGTTTATTTTTTGGTCATCCTTATTAGATACAGAATCAGGAAAGACAATTTTTTGCTTTCTGTACTTGAAGGGATATTTACATAAGAGAACAAATTAGAATTGCAAATTTCTGGGTGGGTAAGTAAAATTGGGGTTGATTCTTTCAGCATTTGTTACTGTTGAACTTAAATTCATCTTGTTGGTTCAGTCTCCATATCTACCCAAACAAACACTTTTGGATGCCAGTACAACATCCAGTGTGCCGTTTTTCTGTTAATGTTCTGGTACTCTTGTTTTCTTCTTTTGGCATGTGTGCAATGGAGGCTTACTAATTCTTCTTAATGAAATATGAAAACAGTTGTAAACACTCCGAGAAAATAAGCAGGTTTAGGATAGTGCAGGCTTGTGTGTGACTTCAGTGTGAGTCAATTCACAGGTACAGTTTCATTCAGAACTTTTGTATTTAGGGAAGTTAAAACAATCAAGAAAATATGTTCATGCTTTTGTTGGGCACAGGTGGCAAGATACATGTTTTAAAATTGGACATGACTTTTTTTCTTCATTATTTGAACCCATTAAATAATTGCAGTGCAAGAAAATTATGGCAATTAATTCTACACAGAATTTAAGTGTACTGTCTTAGAATTTACCCTTTAAATGTAATTTCTGAGTATAAAAGTACTTTGAACCAAAATCTGCTCTTCATGTAAATGAATTCTCTTGGGGACTATGGAAAGAGGTGTTTTGTTTTAATGGCAGCACTCTGATTTTAGTCAAACTGGGGTTTTGTTGGTTTTGCTTTCCTGCTGCTTTACTCATTTTCTGCCTTGCTGTTGCACTGGACCCTTTTTGCCCACTCAGTCAGAAAGTCAAGAGCAGCCAGCCTCGATGCTTTAGATAATTTTTAGGTTTTACACACATCATTTGATAATACTGAATTTGAAAGGATGGTGGTGGTTTACTATCGTTCTTTCTGAGAAAAATTGTAGAAAGTAAATTTCCTATGTATGTTTTGGGCATGAAGGAAAGTATTCTTTCACTTATTAACTAATTTATATCCAAAAGGTAAAAGTGTTTTCTGTATTGCGGATCAGCACACTATGAAAAGTAAATACAACATATCATTCGTAATTTTATGGTGCTTTGCAGATATTTGCCTATTGTGAACAGTTTGTTCAGGCACTTAATGAGTTAATGTTAGTTAGTAAATGTAGTCACCCTGAGAGTAACTATTTGCTTGCTTAACCTTTTTTAACCTTTATGATTCTGTATTAATGAAAGAGATATATATTACATATTTAAATAATACTTTTGGTGGTGCCCACTACTGTTTTAATCAGAAGCTTTGTTAGCTTTGCAGTTATAGGTATGCCCTTCTTATTCAGGAAACATATTCTTCTGTGGCCATTCCTTAAGTTGACATGTAGACAGGCTTTCAATAATTGGTGACATTTAAAAATATGCTCTTGATAACAAATCATACTTTAGTGAGAAGACTATGAAGAGATCTTTGTATATTCCCTGCTCTACACTGTCATATGGTATCAGTTTTACCAATATAGTATATTATTTTTTAGAAGAATTTTACACTTAAAGAACTTGTTCTGTTTCCCCCAGGGAAATAAGTAATGTGAATATAAATGCTAGGCTTGTATGACAGGATGCACACTAGGTAGTTTTGCCTCTTTTGATGGCATTTATTTGATTAGTGGTAAAATGTCCTCTGATGCAGGGGAGACATTTGAGATCCTCACCTCCCGTCAAATTCACATCAAACGTAATTTTAACAGAGTCTAGATTTTTCTCTCAGAAGCTTTGCAAACAAATTGTTGACAATTTGTTTAAATACATGGTCAAATGTGTCTTCACATTTGCCTGTAAATGTATCACTGTTGCTTATATGTAAACTTTCACATGTTCAACTTTATAAGTTGGCCTTGAATGATGAAGAAATTTAAAAGCACAAGTGACAATAATTTAGGCTTTCATTTCCCTTATCCTTAAGTCTTTCATTTGTTATTCTCATTGACTTCTGAAATCAGGCTTGAAAATTTTTCAGTTTCAATGAAAATTTTGAAATATTGCCATCTGTGTTGAAAAGTGATCAGTGTTAGAAAAACAGATGGAAATTAATTTAAGGATTTTAATATGAAGCAGACTCTATGTATTAAAAAATACACATTATTTCTGTGCTGATTCATCACAGCATTTCACTACATTATTAGCGTTTATATATTTATTTAGATCCAATACTACTTTGAGCAGCACTTGGGAGTATTTTTAAATTTTCCTGTTTAAAAAATCAATTGGCAATAAATACTTAAACAAGTATTATATGCTGTTCTGAATAAGAATGTAAGCAGATATTCTAGTGAATTGAGCCTACTCTCATAAGATTACTGGATCTGTCTGGATCTCACTGTCGGTCTTCACTTTCTTCACAGTCATGGTGGAAAAGCTGGCAGTGGAGAAGTTTCTAGTCAGAACATGTCCCGTCTGTGGCTGGAAGGGTTTGCTACACAATTCCTGGGAGGAGCTAACCCTCTGTGCAGAGCTTGGCAGAGATTCTACTTGCTTGTGACCTAGCCTGCCACTGCTCAATGCTACATCTGTCTGGATTTTTGATGTGTGTGCTGTCTTAACCTAGACATTTAGCAAACACCATGAAATCCAGGCATCCACAAAGTCACCCTGCAAGGTTACAACTGCAAATATCGCAGCACTTGGTTGTTATGGTCAAAACGAAATGAAAACAAAATTTCTTAAAAACTTGTTTTGAGATGAGCTTTTTGTAGGTTTTTTACAAAATGTAGCCATCAACTGTATCAATTTTCATCGCATTAAATATTTAAAACATAATTTTGCTCAGTTTAAGTATACAAATTTGCAAAAGCAAATTTTGCCGCTTCATCATTGTCTGTGCATCAGTTGTGTGTCCAGTGACTTAGCCCCCATTTTGGTTTTAGATGGCTTTAGATTTTCTAAACCCATGTACATATCCATATAATTTGTGTAAACTTTGAGTTGACAAACTGTAGTTACATATAGCGTGCATAAATACACTTAAAATAAGCTATATCAATATTCAGATGAGGCTGGTGTTGAGCCCTCCAGTTGTACATTACATCTGAAGGCTGTGGGGCTCTGTTCTCAGACTACTAAGCTTTCTGCTTCCTAAGGTGAAAATAGAGTCTGTTGGTTACACTTTAAGTGGCAAGGAAAAGGCTTCTTTCATTCTGTTGCAAAACCAACCTTTACAGGATATTCTCCTTCAGGCTATGACTAGAAATCTTGACTTCAGACTGAGATCTGAGATAGGGCCACGTTCAGAGGAAATTTTTTATATTAGTAGTGACTCAGTCCAGCACCTTACTGCAAACACCTCCTGGCAAAACAGACCTCTTCACAATCTTCTTCCTTCCTTTCATTTTCTAAGGGATAAATACCCCAAGCTAGATTTTTTCAGGTTTCACTGCAATATGTCATATGAATAGGTAGCTGTGGTCCATGCTCTAGACAGATTCAAGACTAGGACAATATAATCTGAAATAAAAAGCAGAGAAACAGGGTGCCTAGAGACCAGTAATTGGAATAGTGCAACACTATGTATTAATGGTGCAACAATTGTCACAATAAGTTAAGGAGTATTTGCCTATGCATCTTTTGCCTTTTGATGTGTTTATCAGTTCTCTTTACATCTTTTCTTTGTATCTTCTTTTGTCCAGTGGTATTGACTATTTCTATGAAGAATCTGCTGATGTGTCTTACTGTGACAAAGGTGTCAAAATGCTACAATAGTAATTAGGTAGTTATTTTTAAATCCCAGACCTCAGATGTGTTCTAGATCAGTTAGAAGAGAACATTCAAAATGTATTGGGTGAAAAATAGTGTAAGATGGGTAAACATAGCATTATTCAAAGATGTTGTAATAAGTTATTCAATTTAAG